TTTAGGAAAAATAAAAAATAAAAAATAAAATTCGCCCCCCCGCCCCAATTTTGAAAAGAATTTGGATGAGAATCTAGCAATTAATTTATTATGGCCTAATTATACGTATATTATATCTGGATTCAAGAGAAAGTAAAGTTTATTAACTTATAACATGATATTTATGACTAATAGAAAAAATACTTTTTTTAGGGCGAAACAACCTGGGGCGAACGGGTTTTGGGGTGAAGCAACCCGTTACCTGATGAAGTAGGTCGATTATCAGGTAGAAGTGAAGAATTAATTAATAGAATTTCATCAGTATTATTCATCGCATTTCTTATTGATACTGTTCATACATAACCTATGAAAAGTCAGGTAACCCATGCAAACAGCCCGTCCAATCGCGAGACGACAGGCCAAAGGACTTGGAAGGGCACCTGCATCACAGACACAAGACTATACGTTATGAGCAATGGCATTTCTTATAATTACCGTAAACTGCTTTGAGTTTTTCTTTACCGGAAACACCATCACTAAGTTCCTTCTGTCCAACGTGTGTTTTTAGCTGGAGTGGAGAACAGTCACCGAATGGGTTCCTTCTTTTAGGCATGCTGACTCTAGTTCTATGTTTTTGTTTTGATCACGCCGTTTCGCGCGAAATGTAAGGCTGACTTCCTGTGTGTCAGTGCGCATGACTGCAATATGAATACGGGTTGTTTCCCTTCAATTGAAGTTCGATTGAAGCATCATAAATACTGTAGGGTACCAGCTTAGAGAAGTATCAAATCAATGAATTGTCACTACTAACATGGACTTACTTTCAAATTCCTTGTCATCAATAAATCGCAGAGACATCAAAAGAAATATAATCAAAAGTTTTATTTATAAAAGACGAATATCAAAAGTCAAAATTATTTGAGAATGTCTGTCTTATCATGGACATAAATCTAAATTCCGTACTGTAGTCTTATAACCAGCACAGAAGTATAAAAACGGGGAATAAATGCAAACGTCATTGCCTAAAAATAAATGATTCAAGTTCCGAGGTTGTCAAGCATTTCTATCTTTTTTCAATGAATTTTCATGGAGTCAATTATTGCGCCGCTGAAATTAATTTTGGATTCTTAAGGTAAGTTTATTCCAGTACAGAATTTGAATTAAGTTCCGTTAAATTTAGATTAAAGTTCAAATTAAAAGTTTGTGTTTGGGGCGGATATCACAGATTCTGGTAGAGTGTTCCACCTTGGTGTTGAAATTGCCCGCTGTGGAAACAGTTACAGAATCCACCGAGTTAGAGAGTTCATTGATGAAAATAACAAAAAATGTGGACCCCGTAGCTTACTGATGAGACGCAAACGAAGAACCGTATCAAAGGTTTTCTGGTAGTCCATATAAATGCAACAATATATAGCAATTCCTTTATCAAGTGCTTCAGTCTATTTTTCTGAAACTGATTTTTAAACTTTTTTCCGTTGAATCAGTGATTTGCAAGATAGACGAATTATTTTCGGAAAGAAAATTTCACTGTCATTAGTTTGAGAGACAAAGTTTACAAAATGGCTTTGCGTATTCGATTTCATCTGAATAATTTGGTCATGCCTTGAAAACTGGTCAACACAAAATAATGTATTAATATATTTTCAGATAATTATTTAGAAAAATATCTTTCATGTATGTTTAATTTTGGAGTTAATAGACCAGGGAAATTCCGATGAAAAAAAATGGAATTGTATTAAATGTAAATAGACTACTATAAATGATAAATAATCCACTCTGGAATCATTTATATTGTTGAAAGTTATGTTAACTTCGCAAAGATCAAACAATATAATAGCAGAGCTTAGCGTCATAAATACATTACTCCGGAGTGAGTTAATATAAACTTTATTTCATTCCAAATTAAGTTGCATTACATCACATAACATACAAAGTACAGAGGAATGGGATCTGGAAAAAGTTGAAATAAATCCGTTTCCGAGAATTTATCTCATTAATTTAAGGCATGATGGCATAGTTACTGAATGCTATGGAAAGAAATATAAACACTTAAAACAGTAACTACTCTTAAACGTAGTTCAAGGGATATTTGAATAATGAGTAAAAGAAGAGGGGTACAGCGGGGCGGGNCTTCTTCCATTCTCAATCTAGCATGATGTATATCTGTCCCAGTCTGGTACCATTAAAGTAGAACAAAAAAGAGATATGACGACGTTATGTTACGACTGAAACACTAGTGTATAGGCCTATAACGTTAGGCCTAACCACGGAATTAGATTGTTATCTAAATCCGTGGCCTAACTGTTAATCATCCATTCGACAATAGATATTATGAAGTATTTTTTTATGTTTTACGCTTAATTGCAATTAGATATCACTCTTTGTATATTCTTTTAACGACATAATTGTTAATTTTCTTTTGATAAGCAATGATGGTGAAATACACACCCTGGGTCTCTTTGGAGAGAGCATCAGCCGTCAACTTTATCCGAATATTACACCTAACCCTCAAAGTTCTTCCGGTTTCCGTCGATCTGCATTAAAAATGCAGTTTTGTTTATTATTTTGTCATACGCATGCACCATAGTTGGCTCAGTGACATTTCTAGAAATGTGGGGAATACTACATGAAAAACGACGTTGGAATGCTTACGAACAGTAACAGAATTGCTCTACAAAATGGCATCGGTAAGAATTTTCATTTTCAGAAGCATCGTCTGCTAAATTTTCAAAAGTTTTGGTAAATCTGGCCCTTTCCACCGTTATAAAGCAATTTAATTCGTTGTTGATAATATAAACAATGTTTTGTTATATTTAATATTATTGACTCCGTAACATGAGTTTATTGGCAGGAACTTACTATCAAAGTGCAATGTTATGTACAGTTTGCACCTGCAATGGGAGCATATGATATGGGACCACTTGCAATATCTGCATGGTATGTACTGCCCCACATCTGGCCAGGCATAACCTTCATCAACATAAACAATGGTTGCACTCGGAAACATACCACACTAGTGTTTATTGATTTTTTTTGACGGAACTGTCTGACCTAGAAGGACAAGGAACAGTACACGTTAGCTGTACTTTTTATATTGATGTCATTATGAGATGACTGATTCATGATATAGCTGTTATCCATTTATTTTCAACACCTTATCTAAAGGCACATGGTATCGGTTGTGCATCTGTCCATCATCTGTTTGTCCAGTGACTTTTGCTTTAAATCGCTAAGAAATCTATGAAGGACATGTGGTTTCATGTTAGTGACTTGAGCATTTCAACTGACATGACTGCTGGATAGTGTTATTTGATGTTTTTCAGAGAATAAAAGCAAAATAAATTGACCAAAAAAAATCAAACATTATGCTACAATGCAATACAATGTGCAATAGTATCTTTCTAATATATATATAAGTAGAACATTCTAAATCACACTTTTTATTTATAGGCTGCTATTGAAAATGCGTTTTCATTTATTTTCTATTTGCTTTGACAGGTCTGCACATAGATATTAAACCATAAATTATATCATTACTAAATTTAACCTATTTACACGTACAACGTATATTGTAGCTGTAACTTCTCACACATTAGGTTTACCTGCAGACAGTCCCTAATGGATCAGGAACCTAGGTATATACACAGTTGATCCTTAAGTGTGGTGTCATTTTTTGCTGCATAAATTTTATTTATCAGCATAATAAATAACTGAGACTGAATGGTGCAAACCCTCTTAATGTTAAAATATATATGTTGTGTGTATATTAGAGGATACCTCAAAGGTTTTCATTAACAGGCAGCAGACCGAATGCTTGAGCTCTGATTTTGACCTGTTTATTTTTTATTTATTTTTAATAAACTTGTAGATTTATAAAGTTTTTAATGTTTGTCTGTTTTAATTGTCATTTAGCCTATACAGAATGTGATTTTGGATGTGGTAAGGAGAGTCATTTTGTGTAAATAAAATGACTTGAAATTATCATTAGTTTCAAGGTGAAAATTCACAATGTTAAAATGAGTGAAGCATTAACAATCTTGTCAAATAGATGTGTGATGTGAAGTGTAATTATGGATGGATATCATGTGTGAACGAAAAGATGGCCATTATATCAGATGTAATGATTTAATGTGCACATCTTGTTGAATATGAGATGTGAAATGTCAATTTAAATTGGTTGGGATACAAGGTACGCAGTGTACAATTTCTTTATCAACATTTCTTCTTAATATTCTGATGTTTACAGATATATCAGTCTTCATGTACAGATACTCTTGTATATTTTATACATATATTTTATATATTTTAGAAAATAATTTTATCCAAACAATATATGATAAAAGATTTCAGAAGTATCATCAGTTTTGACTTTCCATGAGAAGTCGGAGGACACATACTAATTATTTGATGTAATCTGCCTTGAGATTTTCAGTTTTCATCTTCCTATCTTAATATGCTTCCACAATTTTGGGGAAATAACCAAGCAAATTCAGAAACTTGCCTTTTTCTGCCGTGGCGTGTCGTCCGTCCGTCCGGCGTCAATATTTTGCTTTAAACAACTTATTCTGAATAACCAAAAGACCTAGGGTTATGATATTTGTCCAGAAGCAAACTGAGATAAAGGACTACAAAGTTTGTTCAAATAAATGACCTTCACCCATTTCCAAGGTCACAGGGGTCAAATATGTTAAAAACTTTAAACAACTTCTTCTAAATAACCAAAAGGCCTAGGATTATGATATTTGGCCAGAAGCAAACTGGGATAAAGGACTACAAAGTTTGTTCAAATAAATGACCTTCACCCATTTCCAAGGTCACAGGGGTCAAATATGTTAAAAACTTTCAACAACTTCTTCTAAATAACCAAATGCCCAGTGAGATGATATTTGGCCAGTAGCATGCTTGGATGAAGGGCTACCAAGTTTGTTCAAATGAATGACCTTCACTCATATTCAAGGTCACAGGGGCCAAATATGTTAAAAACTTTAAATAACTTCTTCTAAATAACCAAAATGCCCAGGGAGATGATATTTGGCCAGTAGCATGCTGGGGTGAAGGGCTATCAAATTGTTCAAATGAATGACCTTCACTCATATTCAAGATCACTGGGGTCAATTGTTTAAAAAGACCTTTCAACAACTTCTTCTAAATAACCAAATGCCCAGTGAGATGATATTTGGCAAGTAGCATGCTTGGGTGAAGGGCTACCAAGTTTGTTCAAATGAACGACCTTGACTTTTATTCAAGGTCACAGGTGTCAAATATGTTCAAAATCTTTAAATGACATCTTCTGCCATAACCAAAAGGCCCAGGATGTTGATATTTAGTCAGTTGCATACCAGTTTGAAGGGCTACCAAGTTTCTTTAAATGTATGACCTTGAATCATATTCAAGGTCACAAGGAGCAAATATGTTCAAAATCTTTAAACAACTTGTTCTGAATAACCAAAAGCCCCAGGATGATGATCTTTGGCCTGTAACATGATTGGATGTAGGGCTACCAAGTGTGTTCAAATGAATGACCTTGACATTTATTCAAGGTCACAGGTGTCAAATATGATCAAAATCTTTAAACGACTTCTTCTTAATAACCAAAAGGCCCAGAATGTTGATATGTAGTCAATAGCATGCTGGGTTCAAGGGCTACTATGTTTGTTAAAGTGAATGACTTTGACTTATATTCAAGGTCAAAGGGGTCAAA